AGATCCCTTGGAGGAGGGCATGGCAACCCACCCCAGTATTCTTGCCTGGAAATCCCATGAACAGAGGAGCCTGGTGAGCTACAGTCCATGGGGTTGCAAAGAGCTGGACACAGCATTTCTGGACTGTAGTGAAATCACAGAGAATACATACAAACTGTGGATCATTGTGCCCTTCCTACTATAGAACCTCAACTAGATGAAGCTACTGGTTATAGCTCAGGGGAAAAAGTGATGAGACATGAGGCTCAGACCTTTGGTTTGGGCTATTTGGAGATGGAATTCTCAGAGAGAGTTGGGCAGTTGAAGGAAACATGTTCAGAGAGAGGAGACGTACTGTATAGGCAATTCACATTATTTGCCTGGAGTCCAAAAGAGAGATCAAGGCAGGAGAAAAAAAAATTTGGACCATATGTGCAGTAGTAAAGACATTTAAATTTCAATAGGTATTGCATGTGGGGGAGCTGCACTGCCTGGAATGACTCGGCCTAAGGGGTTAGGGTAGTGTGATGAGTGAAGTGGCATGCTGACGCACAGCTGTAAGGAACTGAGATAGATGCATAGCAGCTGCTTCTTCCTTAGTTTTATGCAATGCCACTAAAGTGCTACTCAGATGTCATACATACATACATATGCATGTATACATACACACACATGTATACAGCAGACATACACATATATAGACATGTATACAGCAGACATACACATATATAGACATACACACACACCTGGCAGTGGGAACAGAGGCAGGACAGGACATTCTAGGCGTAAGGAGTAGCATATGCAAGCTACCTGGAACAAGAGACAGATATGAAACGATACTGCTGTTTCAGGAAACTGTAGGTGTTAGTGCAAAGAAACTGCAGAGTACTAACACATAAGGGATTATTAAGATACAACATAGTAAGAATTGACAAAAACCATAATAATTCTTCAGTCAAGTAGAAAGGTGGACTTTACCTTACAGGTTGTGAGAAGTCATCACAGAGAAGCACATGATTGAGTTTATCCTGAGGAATTAATACCAAACCCAAAGAAACACAAGGACTGACTGTGTGTGTGTCAGTCACTCGGTCGTGTCTGACTCTCGGCTCGCCAGGCCCCTCTGACCATGGAACTCTCCAGGCAAGAACACTGGAGTGGGTAGCCATTCCCTTCTCCAGGGGACCTTCCCGACTCAGGGACTGAACCCTGGTCTCTCGCACTGCAGACAGATTCTTTACCATCTGAGCCACCAGGAAAGTCCACTGATTGTAAGAGAACACTATGAACTGCAGGCCAACAAACTAGATAACCTAGTCAGCATGGACAAATTCCTAGAAATACACAAATACTAAAACTGACTCAACAAGAAATAGAAAAATTCAGGATACCTGTAACATGTAAAAAGATCAAATCAAAAATCCTCTCAATAAAGAAAAGTCTAGAACCCAGTAGTTTCACTGATGTATTCTACCAAGCATTTAAAGAAGAATTAACACCAATTCTCTCACACTCTTCCAAAAAATAGAGGAGGGAACACTTGCTAACTCACTCTGTGAGGTCAGCATGACCTTGATATCACTGCCAGAGATATTACAATGAAAGAAAACTATGAAAATATATGAAAAAATCTTCAAATGAACAATCAGAAAACAAGATGAAACAAAAAAACCCCTAACAAGCTGAATTCAAAGTCATAGTAAGAGGATTATAAGCCGTGACAAGGGGCTTCCCAGGTGGCTCAGTGGTAAAGAATCTGCCTGCCAACGCAGGAGACACAGGTTCAACCTCTGGGCTGGGAGGATCCCCTGGAGCAGGACATGGCAACCACTGCAGTATTCTTGTGTGGAAAATTCCACGGATAGAGGAGCCTAGCGGGCTACAGTCCATGGGGTCACAGAGAGTCAGACATGACTGAGCATGCACACACATAGCCATGACAAAGCAGTGTGTATCTCAGGACTGTGACGGTAGTTCCACAACAACAACAACAAATTGAACAATGTAATGTACCACATTAACAGGACAAAAGGAAAAGAAAATGATCATGTCAAGCGATTCAGAAAAGCATTTGACAAGATTCAAACTCCTATCTAGAAACTAGAAGAGAACTTCCTCAACATAATAAAGGGAACTTATTTTTAAAATGCACAATTGACATCATATTCAATAGTAAAAGACTGAAAAAACGCAAAACAATGGACCTCTACCTCACACCATACACAAAAAGTCAACTCGATATGGATTTACGTTACCTAAATCTAAGAGGTAAAGTTAGAAAGCTCTTAGAAAAAAACATAATGGTAAATCTTTAAGACCTTGAGTTTGGCAGTATATTCTCAAATAGGACAAAAAATGCATAGTGACAAAGAGAAAATGGGTAAGTTAGACATCAAAACTGAAAAGTTCTGTGTATCAAAGAACACAAAAAAAGTGAAAAGAGGACATATATTTAATAGAATGAAAGAAAATCTTTGCAATCATACCTGATAAGGGTCTAGTATCTCACACTCAGCAACAAAGAGACAAGCAACATAGTTTTAAAATGGGCAAAGGACTTGAACAGACATTTCTCCAAAGAACATAAACAAAAAAACAAGTACACACATTTGCTGAAAGGATATTCAACATCATTAATCCCTTGGGAAATGTAAATCAAAACCACAATGATATACCAGTTCCCGTCTACTAAGATCAATATAATTTTATAAAAGAGAAATTATTGAATGATGAGAAACTGGAATGCTCATGTATTCCTGGTGGGAATATAAAATGGTACAGCTACTGTGAAAAGCAGTATGGTAGTTGCTCAAAAACTCAAACACAGCATCACCATATGGCCACGGCAATTCCACCTCTAGGTACATAACCAAAATAACTGAAAACAGGTACTTAAAACATGTATAAACACTTTTGTTTCTACAGTATGCACAATAGCCAGAAGGTAAAAACAACCCAAACATTCATCAACTGACACAGACAAACAAATTGTGACATATACATACAAGAGGGAACGTCATTCAGCCATAAAAGGTAATGCACTAAACAAGCTACAATGTAGATTATCCTCAAGAACACCGTGCTAAGTGAGAGAAGTCAGTCATAAAAGGCCACACACTATATGATCACTCATAGTAGAAATACAAAATATAGGTAGATATATAGAGAAAAGCAGACTGGGGCTTGCCAGGGTCTGGGGAGAGTGAGAAAATCGTATGGAACTTTACATGGAGATGGTAAAATGTTTTCGAACAAAGGGGATGGCTGCACAATTACTGTCAATGTACTAAATGCCACTAAATGGTACACTTTAAAATAGTTAATTTTATGTGAATTTCATTTTGATTTTTTTTTAATCATCTTGGTGAGGGTGGAGAACACATACATTGAAGGTTGGATGTGATAAATAGTGGGGTGAGGGTCTAGGCTATGCACAGCTGGTGGGAACAAAAGCAGAGGAGGTAACGGATTTGAGAACTATTAATACTCAGGAAGGAGCTGGCTGGCAGTGGGGTGAGAAAGGATGACTTCTATCTGGAATAAGTACGTTAAGAGGACGAGACTGAACAGTCAGCCAGTTCCCTGAGCAGGCTGAATTTCAGGGAAGTTTTGGAGGCATTAAACGTGCATCTTCCCTCAATAAACCAGTCTGGACTGCAGATAAGGCCCAGAGAGAGGAACATCTGATAGAAGTAAATGGGATGGAAGTAAATGGAAAACATCATGCTTGTAACATAATTAAAAAAGAAAATAACATCATGGTCCAGTAAGTAGTAGACTAAGGAGGTAGACTACGAAGATACTCAGCATAAATAAAAGTCAGGTAGTGTGATGGTAGAAAGATGTCGTTATACAGTTAATATTTCATTTCTATCTTGTATCACTTGTGTAGTTGTGTAACTAAATGATCCAGTAAGTTTTGATTTTATGAAAATGATTCCAGTAAAAGCACCAGTGGACTGAACGTTCAAGCCATTCAGTTGTTACACTGACCGCACCTCCCGTTCGGGACAGAGCTCTCCATGTGCACATCTCGTTCTCTCCTTACAGAAGGTCACTGCTGATAAAGGTATTTCTTGTGAGCAGCCCCCCTGGGACTACACTGCCGCCTTAACCTTACCACCAGAGTTTCATGGAAAGGAGACAAGGAAAGCAGCTTATGTCTGTGATTTCCTTTCTCACAGACTGCTTACCCCATCCTTCATTCTGCAGAGTATGCCAAGGGGACGAGTCCTCCGGTCTCCCTCAGCATTGAAAGATAACCGTGAACTGGGCAACATCACACATCACAACTTCAAAGTTTCTTTTTACACTAAATTACAGTACTCTTTTTTCGCTATTTTTGTGTTAGAAATAAGTGTTTTCCCTAACACCAGTGTCAACTTTCTGTCAATTGCCAATCTTACAGAAGAAAATGGTGACACTGTTCATCGATAAACCATTTTTCTCTAAATTAATCAATGATTCAATTCATTTTACTGACAAGGGTAGTATTCAGAAATAACATGAGCATTAATAATGTGAACAACTATGTTGATAATTTCATTTCACTTCAAATGTCATAAGCAGAAAATCAGCAGTGGCACTTTTTAAAGCAATTTATACTTGTTTTAGGAATTGATTGTTTGGCTTTAACAAAATAAATAAAAATATCTATAACCAGTTAATCTCTGGTTAACTATAATTAACTTGTCAAAAGACTTGGGCAGACACATGAAAGCTGTCTTGAGTCATCATGCATTTATACCTTGGAATAACAACTCAATTGCATTAAAACTGGGTACAAGTATGTCTTAAAGAAAATTAAAGTTCATGTGCTGCCAGTAAACTAGGGTGGAAAAACATACAGATTATGCAATCAAAAGGTATAAGGAGCTCAGGACATTAATAGACTAGCGCTGTAAAGTGTGTGTACACACTCACTCACAAGGGCACAAAAGGACGCATGGACACACCCCCTACACACATGTCCCATCTCTGGGGGTTACGGCAGAATGGCAGGAAGCAGGGGGCACACTCACGTCGCACTGGAAAGGCTTCTCCCCGGTGTGCGTCCTCGTGTGCTCGTCCAGGCCGCGCTTCTGGCTGAAGGCCTTGCCGCATTCCGAGCACTTGTACGGCTTCTCCTAGTCAGGGAAGAGGCCAGGAATGCCAGTGAGGGCAGGGTCATCCTCAGCAAGGGGCACACAGCAGCGTTTTTACCTAGTTCTGCAGGGTGCCGCAGCACACTCGGAGGTGCCATGAATTATTATAAATTTTCAGGGGAAAACAGGACTACTCAAAACCTGCTGGGCAGTCTTAAGAGACCAGGTGGTTCACAGCGCCAGCATCAGAGTCACTACCTTTCTTTCCATGCAGTCCTGACTGCCCAAAGGGAGATTCTGCAGGATTGCTGTGACCTGACCACTTGCTAGACTGAACTCTAAGGTCTTTTCATCTTGGAGAGCCTGCTAAAACGGCATCATCGAACAAAACAGTTTGGCACCCCTGGTTTACATGCTGCAAACTGTTCACTGTCTCAAAGGGATTCCTGGAAATGAGAGCCCAGACCAAATGTTTAACAAGTTTTGAGGGTAAGTTTAAGACTTTAGAACTAGACTGTGACTTTTAAGTATTTTCATTTTTATTGTCCAATATTTTTTTCCTAGGAAGGATGTTCTTTTAAAAAATCTAAATTACTTTTTAAAATGAGGCATTATTTATAGCTGATCATAGACTCTTAAGGAAAAGAGTATCTCCACAGAACAAGGAAAAAATACCTGAATTCCTTAGCCATCTTTGATACCAGAAACTTAAGTCACCATCTTTTAAGTTTGAAATAAATTCCAAAATAAATTAACATTGCTTCATTAAAACAGCTGTTCAGTTATTAAATAGAGCATTGATAAAAAGATTTGTTTAAAGTAAAACTGCATTAAGATCTTTTTTCAAATATAGCTTAAAAATATTGCTATAGATGCTTTTTGAATTGAGGTAGCATGTATAGAGTTTTAAATTTCATGTTTCTATGTTCATTTTCTCCTTAGTATTTAAAAGACTTATAAAAACATTCAGACCTACAAAACAGTATGTAAATAATCACACATGTACACCCACCAGCCAGGTTAAGAAATGGAATATTTTTGTGAACACATGTAGCTCCTATTTATTCAGTCTTAATGAGTATAGTATTGCGTTCAATGGCAACACCACAATTTGCTTATGTACATTCTGCTGCGATGGATATTTAAGTGTTCCCCAATTTTTCATTCTTATAAATAATGTTGTTCTGAACATTCATTCAAGTGTATACGTGAACACAGATGAGCAAGCGTAATTTCCTACAGTATGTACATCTAGAGGGAGCACTGCACCGTCAGCTTTTCTGGGAATGGCCACGTAGCTCTACAGAGCGAATGACCATTTTGGGGAATTCTCTGGCGGTCTGGTGGTTAAGGCTCTGGGCTCCCAGCGCGGGGGCACAGGTTTGATCCCTGGTCAGGGAATTAACATCCCACATGCGGTGACGATGAGCCTGCACATGGCAACAAAGATTCCATGTGCAAAAGTAAGACCTGGAACAGCCAAATAAAATAAACACATATTTTTAAAGAAAGATGCATCATTTTAAAAACAACTTTACACTTCAATATCTAGGGTATTCTTAGAATTCTATCACTGTAGTTAACAAAAATTTTGAAACTCATGTACACAATGAATATACATAAATTTAAAAGTATGACAGTCCTGGAAAATAGGATCTTTTATCATTTTTAAGTGACCTTCTTTATCTGTATCATCCTTTTCACCTTAAAATAATTTGCTAATAATATAGCTGTAAAAGCTTTTTAAAATTAGTATTTGCTGAAGGTTGGGAGACTTGTTGAAATGTTGGTCAAAGGTACAAATTTCGAGTTAGAAGGTAAGTTTGGAGACTAAATGCACAGCAATGTGAATATAGTCAACTGTACCGTAGTATATACTGCAAAGCTGATAAGAGACTAGAGCCTAAATGTTCTTACCACAGCAATGATAATGACACGACATGACGGAGGTTCTAGCTAACACTATGATGGAATCATATTGCAACATACAAACACACCAAATCAACGTGGCACAACTTAAACTCAGTGTTATATGTCAACTATATCTCACTTTTAAAAAACAGGAAATAGTTTTTGCCTAGTATATCCATCATTTTTTACTTTCAAACAGTCTATATCTTAGGTATGATGAGCATCTGTTGTAAATCGCATACAACTGAAAAATTTTAATCCAAACTTATGTCACTTTTTCAAGTTAGTAAGTTTCGCTTTTTATTATTTTTTATCATTTAAAATTTATATTGTCAGAATATATTACCATTATAATAAAATACAACAGGATGTTGATTATGAATATTTATCATTATTAATAATATATTTAAATAAGTTTCTAACATTTTATTTTATGCTTTGCTTTTATCTTGCTGTTTTCTAAGTTTTTCTCCCTTATATTTTCTTACATGTTTTGGATTGATCCTGTATTATTATAGAACTTACACACTCTATTTCCACTCTTTCAGTGGTTATCCTTAAATTTTTTTTACTATGTATGTTTAACATAATCTAAAGTTTGTCTGTTTTCCCATGTACTAATTAGCATGCCCTTTCATGTTATGTGTAACAGTATCTTATTTGTATATTGATTTTTTAATGCCCAGTATGGAATCATTATTATTTTACACAATCACTGTGGTTTAGCTCTCAGTTCAGTTCAGTTCAGTTGCTCAGTCATGTCTGGCTCTTTACGACCCCATGAATCACAGCACGCCAGGCCTCCCTGTCCATCACCAGCTCCAGGAGTTTACCCAAACCCATGTCCATTGAGTCGGTGATGCCATCCAACCATCTCATCCTCTTGTCGTCCCCTTCTCCTCCTGCCCTCAATCTTTCCCAGCATCAGGACCTTTTCCAATGAGTCAACTCTTCACATCAGGTGGCCAAAGTACTGGAGTTTCAGCTTCAACATCAGTCCTTCCAGTGAATATTCAGGACTGATCTCCTTTAGAATGGACTGGTTGGATCTCCTTGCAGTCCAAGGGACTCTCAAGAGTCTTCTCCAAAACCATAGTTCAAAAGCATCAATTCTTCAGCACTCAGCTTTCTTTATAGTCCAACTCTCACATCCATATAGTACTACTGGAAAAACCATAGCCTTGACTAGACAGACCTTTGTTGGCAAAGTAATGTCTCTGCTTTTTAACATGCTGTCTACGTTGGTAATAACTTTCCTTCCAAGGAATAAATGTCTTTTAATTTCATGGCTGCAGATCAGCCATGATGCAGTCAAACATCTGTAGTGATTTTGGAACCCCCCAAAATAAAGTCAGCCACTGTTTCCCCATCTACTTGCCATGAAGTGATGGGACCAGATGCCATGATCTTAGTTTTCTGAATGCTGAGCTTTAAGCCAACTTTTTCACTCTCCTCTTTCACTTTCATCAAGAGGCTCTTCAGTTCTTCTTCACTTTCTGTCATAAGGGTGGTGTCATCTGCATATCTGAGGTTATTGATAGTTCTCCTGGCAATCTTGCTTCCAGCTTGTGCTTCTTCCAGCCCAGTGCTTCTCATGATGTACTCTGTATAGAAGTTAAATAAGCAGGGTGACAATATACAGCCTTGACATACTCCTTTCCCTACTTGTAACCCAGTCTGTTGTTCCATGTCCAGTTCTAACTGTTGCTTCCTGACCTGCATACAGATTTCTCAAGAGGCAGGTCAGGTGGTCAGGTATTCCTATCTCCTTAAGAATTTCCCACAATTTATTGTGATCCACACAGTCAAAGGATTTGGCATAGTCAATAAAGCAGAAATAGATGTTTTTCTGGAACCCTCTTGCTTTTTCGATGATCCAATGGATGTGGGCAATTTGACCTGTGGTTCCTCTGACTTTTCTAAATCCAGTTTGACCATCTGGAAGTTCACAGTTCACATATTGCTGAAGCCTGACTTAGAGAAATTTAAGCATTATTTTACTAGTGTGTGAGATGAGTGCAATTGTGCAGTAGTTTGAGCATTCTTTGGCATTGCCTTTCTTTGGGATTGGAATGAAAATTGACCTTTTCCAGTCCTGTGCTACTGCTGAGTTTTCCAGATTTGCTGGCAAATTGAGTGCAGCACTTTTACAGCATCATCTTTTAGGATTCGAAGTAGCTCAACTGGAATTCCATCACCTCCACTAGCTTTGCTCGTAGTGACGCTTCCTAAGGCTACTTAACTTCACATTCCAGGATGTCTGGCTTTAGGTGAGTGATCACACCATCGTGATTATCTGGTTCATGAAGATCTACACACTAACAGTTTCTTTACTTTTCATGCGTTCTTATGTATTTGAATTTCCAAGAATCAGCTGAGAGTAAATTCTGTTTTTGACTGAAAATGGTTTTGTTTCTCATTTTTCGTTGAATGAAAGTCTACAAACTCAATTAGGTCTTTTTATTTTTCATATCTCTCAACCCGTCTTAGCCATTTCCATCTCTTTGTATTGCACTCTATGTATTTCTTTAGAATCAGTTGATCAATTATCTTCAGATATGAACAACTTAATGACCTAACAGGATCATTTGAGTTTTCAATTTCCATTATTGTATTTTTAAGTTCTAGAACTTTCCATTTAGCTCTTTTCAATTATGTTTAATTTTTAATATAATCTTGCTTTTTATTGGTGCTCCTTATGCCTATTTTAAAATATTCTAGGCATTTACACAATTTTCTTTATTAGATAAATCCTTATCTTATGTGCTTTGGAAGTTTAGTTCTGCTTCTTGTCGTTTCTCCTATCTCCTGCTCATGGCTCTTGTTTCCTTGGGAGTTCCTGGAATTTGGAATCATGAACTCATGTTTGGTGGTCCTTATCTGTTAAAAGCCCGGGAGCCCTCAGGTTGACGTAAGTCCCTCCAGACAGCATTTGTGTTTGCTTCTGCCATGCACCATAGGATGCTATCAGTCAAAGACCATTTTAAGTTTATTTCTTGCCTGAGGGTTTTCTGTCCAGGCAAGCATTTTAAGTCTGAACTCCAAACACATTTGTGGGGAAGGACTGTGGTTACAACCTCTAAGGAGAACTCTTTCTCTAGTCAGCAATTAGCTCAAAACAACTGGATGTC